CCGTTTGAGTTTCTCTGCTGATAAATTCCCCAGGGTTTGTAACAAGTATCCCAAGGCTATTTTTGTATCAGTTGAATTTTTTGCTTTTAGGAGCAGGTAGAGTTAGTAAGAGGAATTCATTCTGTCTCAGATGAAATATTCATGGAAGTGGGATGTGCTGGAGTGTTTTGAAGGGCAAATGAAGGCCACTGAATAGTGAAAAATTTGTGCGTCTCTATCCCAGCCATCCCAAGTCTAATAAATCAGGGTGGTCCTCCTGCAGGTGTAAGACCATGCAGAGCTCCTCACAGAATGAAAGCCAGTCTTGGTCTCTGCTCAGTTGTTCTAACGCTTGCTCAGTGTTCATATTGCTAGATTTATTCTTTTTAGTTCTAGTTTGAAGATTTAAGACTAGTATCAAATCATCAGTTTTCAGTATCAATTTTTTATACAAAAAACTACTCCTGGCTTCTGGGTGGGGCCAGTGACAGCTGTGTGTTAGGTCCAGTGTTTGTGTTGGCCAAAAGACTATAGTTATCCAGTAGATAGCCCTGACAGATTCCCCAAAAAAGTATGCCCACCTTTTGAGTCTATCTGTCATGTGTTATGAAGGGGACATATTGTATTTGTGGTAGACAGAATAATGGCTCTCCACAAAGATTTGTGTCCTAATTTGGAGATTCCCTGAACCTCTGAAAATGAGAAGCTGTGTGGCAAATGGGAATCAACCTTGCAGACTCAAGTTGCTAATGACCTGATCGTAGAGAGATTATCCCAGTCATCCAGTGGGCCTGATGCAGTCACAGGGCCCTTAGAAGTAGAAGAAGGAGGCAGGAGAGGCAGTATCAGAGTGACAGAGATGAGAGCGACCTGACTGGCTGTTTCTGGATTTGAGGATAGATGAAGGGCCCTAAACTCAAGGAACATAGACAGCCTCTGAGCTACAGAAGGCAAGAAAGCAGATTCTCCCCTGCAGCATCGAGAGAGCAAGCCACTGTGCTCAGTGTCAGGTTCTGCTGTGCAAATAAAGTTGTGTGGTTTAAGCCATAAGGTTGTGATTTTTCTGTAACAGCAACAGAAGACTAATACACTGTGTATTGAAGCTAGATAAGTACAGCTTTTCCAGTGTCTTTAAGATCTCAGAGTTCCCAGGTAGTATGTCATGAGTTCCACTTTCTTCTGCTGTTTCCTCTGTTGCCTGTAGCACTGTCTTGGAGGCTGTACCCGAAGAGGGATACTCATCCTGTCACCTGGCCTGGTGGCCTGGCCCTTCAGCTTCACCTGCATAATTCTGCTTTACATATCCTGAGCTTCTCTGGAGCCCCCACTGGCTAGTGGCCAGTTTGGAACAGTGTCTATTAGCAATCCATTTTGTGCTGCTGTAACAGAATTCATGGGAATGAGGTTTTATAATGAACAGAAATCCATTTCTTGAAGTCCTGGAGGCTGGTAGGCTCCGACAAAGGCACTGGGATCTGACCTGGGTCTGCTTCCTGTTACATCTACTGAAAGGCACTGGGATCTGGCCAGGGTCTGCTCCCTGTTAAATCTCCTGGAAATGAAGTGATAGATTTGCCTTGAGTGGTGGCCTTAGTCTCACCAGTGGCAGCCTGTGGCCTTATCACCACTTGTCAAAGGTTCTGCCTTTTACTACTATTACAATAGCATTTAAATTTTTTTTTTTTTAACATTTATTTAGTGTGTGTGTGTGTGTGTGTGTGTGGGTGGGTGGGTGGCCGGCTCAGCCCACCAGGGGGCGCGGCTGGCCGGCATGTGGTGCTGGGGGATTGAACCGCAGTCCCTGATGTTTTGCCAAGCTTGTTCCAAGTAGGTGCTTTAGACCACTGAGCCATCTCTCCAGCCCCCTACAATAGCATTTAACTTTCAAGTGAGTTTTGTGGGGGACACATTTCAAGGATACCAAACAGTGTTAGAGCTACTGTTCATGAAGCTACCATAGAATTGGGTAAAATGTTGGAATCTGCAGTGGGCATGGTGGTGCACACCTGGCATCTCAGCACTTGGAAGGCTGAGGCAGGAGGATTGCAAATTAAAAGTCCAAACTAAAGTATATAGTGAGAGCCTATCTCAAAGATAAAAGGAAAGAAGGAAGGACAGACGGATGGATGGATGGATGGACAGACAAAGACAGAAAGAAGGGAGAAGAGAGGAGGGGAATCTGAACCTTAGTGGGAAGTAAAACAGAAAACCAAATTCCAACTACTTTGAAAACAGACAGCATCAGGGAAAGTTGCTGATGTTAAGGGTGCAGTATTTTAGGAGCTGAGTTGCAGTCTGCCTGCTAACTGGTGCTGTTCTTTTGACATGTTCTTTAATTTTTGAAAAGCATGAGGTGGATTTCTGCCCAAGGTTAGTTGTACAACTGTACCAGTTGACTCAGTTGCAGGCCAAAGATTAGGGTCTTACTAGGAAGAGAGTAATCTCTAGGGAGACCTGGTTAGTCTCACCTGCTGCTGCAGGATGCACCCTGGAGGCTGATGTCACAGAAGTGATATGTAGCATTAATGGACCTTTGAAATACTGTTCTGTGTAAGAAAACCCAGTCTCAAAAGCTCATATGACTGTATTCACATGAAACATCCAGAACAGGCAAACCTATAGATTGGTGGCTGCAGGGGGCTCAAGAAAAGAACTAAGAAAAATGAAGTGATTGCTAATGTTGATGAAGTTTTTTATAGGATAGTAAACATGTTCTGATATTGGTTGTGGTTTTGGTTTCACAACTCTGAGTATCCTCCAAACCATTGAACTGTATGTTTTCAAGTGATGAATTATATGTTGCATGAATTAACATCATTATAGAACCATTAAAAATTTTTTAATAAGCATATGTGATAGTTGCATGTTGGAAAACTTAAAGCAATATTCGGCTATGATAAGAACAGCTTCTGAGAGTTTTAGAGCTGTAAATTTAAGTGTCTCTTTTCTGGCATTGAAGCTGTCATGGTCAAAAGAGGCTCCTGCATTAATTGTGAAGCTCTGAGTTTTTTTTTTTTCCGGAACTGGGGATTGACCTCAGTCAGACCCTTGTGCTTTCCAGAGAGGCACTTATTCTACTGAGCCATCTTCCCGGCCCCCAGCTCTGAGTTCTTGAATGTGTGTTTTAGGATTGGCTTCTTGATTGGGAAGGCTGAGGTCTCACTAGACAACATCTTGTGTTTGTATATTGCCCTTGTTGCTTGGCTCACAGGATGGCCTTGGTCCTGGAGGGATCATGGACAGTATGTTAACATGAGACTGTGGTGTACTTTGACCATTGTAGCTGTATGTGCTGCAAGGTCTCACCCATCCTCTGCATGTCTTTTTAAGTCCCACATTTTCATAAAATGAGAAACCTGTGAAGATAATATGACAGGATGTTTTCCAAAGGAGCATGTCAAATGTGGCTGATTTTGAAGGTGCAGTGGTTTGCTCTTTGCAGATGGATATGGAGAGTTGTGTGAAGGTGAGTGTATCATCAAATATGAAATCTGTAGAATTTTAGTAGTTCCTTTTTCAACCGGTTAAATGTGTCACATTCCCAAGTCTACATTTCATGCAGAGCTCCATGGATAATGACACAGGTCAGCTTCCTTAATGGTGCTGGGATCAGCCATAAGGAGGGTAGTGCTATCTCTCGACCATCATGGAGGAGCCTATGGGCCTAAGGAGAAGGCATTGACTTAGTGGTGATGCCTGGAGTGCTTGAGCCAAGGCTACTCTCTGTGTTGATACCAGCACACAGCCTTATCCCCACCTACCCACCCCAGAGGCCCCCTTGGCTTCTTGGTATACCAACAGAAATAGGCATTAATCCTTAGGAACTAGTTACTTAGCTAATTAGTCATAGAAAAGTTGATTCCCTTCTTGTCTTTCAAGAAATCACAGTGGAGGGTGTGCTACTTCTTGATGTAGAGGCTAAATCCATGGAGATGGACATGTCTATAATTTCAGAAAGAAAAGAGGAGAAAGGAAACCTGTCTCCCCATAGAGAAGAACTAAATAGTATAAATACAGTGAAGGAACCCCACTTCTTGCAGGAACATGGAGGAGGCTAGGTCCTGGGCTGTATGACCAGGACAGACAGTCTGATTTGGATACAGTGTCCAGGCCTGAGCTTTGGGGAGAATGGATGGGACGGCAGGTGGAAGCCAGGCTTCAGGATTCTAAGGGCAGAGTATCTGCATCGTGACATGTGAATCCCCACATCAGCATCATCGAATACCTACTAAAAGCTAGACATTGCCAGTGCTCATCTCCATTGCAGCCTGGCAGGTGGATGGCATTGTTACCTTTTGATGGAGAAGATAGAGAGTCAGACCAAATGGTTTGCCAAGGTCACGTAGCTGGTAGAAGACAGAGTTGGAATCTGATCTAGCCTGTATCCCTGTCTATTCTGCTAACAAATTCTCTCTAGAGACAAAGCTCTTTCATGAAACACTGAAGATGGTCAATGTGACATAGGGTGAAGCTATGTGGAAGTACCATTTTTCTAGGTCAAAATGGCTAGTTCATGGCCATCTGGGCATGGTAGCACATGCCTGTAATCCCAGCACCATGAGAAGCTGACACAGGAGGGTATGAAGTTTGAGCCCAGCCTGGGCAACCTAGTGAGTTAGGAAGACTGCATCAAAGTAAAAAATAAAAAAAGGGCTGGGAATGTAGCTCAGTTTGGAGGCTCTAGATTAAATCTCCAGTACTGAAAAAAAGAAGTGGTCACACATTAGCAGTGTCATATAGCTTAACCTAATACAGAGTGAGGTGGGGCTCAGAGAAATAGAAACTTCATGGGCAGGTGTGGTCAACAAAGGTTTCATAGGGAATGTGGAAATAGAGCAGGCTTTGTAGACTCTAGGTAGGTAGAAACTGGGTTTCGAGAAAGGTAAGCTGAGGAGCATGTGACAGGGATATGGAGGACGCCAGGAGTCAATGCCCTAGGGCTCTCAGGGAGACCTATTGGCCCTCCCAGCCACAAGAGGTGATCAGGTGCTCAGTTCGTTCTGCCATTCCTCTTCCTACAGGAAACAGGTGAGCAGATTGCCATCAAGCAGTGCCGGCAGGAGCTCAGCCCACGAAACCGGGAGCGTTGGTGCCTGGAAATTCAGATTATGAGAAGGTAAAGCCTGGGCACAGAGCTGCCAGAGCCATTACAGTGGCCTGGGAACATTGAAGTACATTGAGATCTACACCATTGGGACCCCAGCCAGGCTATGCAGATACAAGGAGTTAGCTTTCCATTACTGGGACAAACACCTATTGCCTGAAACTTAAAGGAGAAGAGGTTTATTTTGGCTCACAGTTTCAGTGGGTTCAGTCCGTGGTGAGCTGACTACAAGGCAGAAATGGCTTGGAGGGAAAACATGGCAACAGAGAATAGAGGGAGGAGCCAGAACAAAAATATGTCCTTCCAGTTACCGGGCATGTGGCACACATCTATACTCCCAGCATTTTGGAGACTGAATCAAGAAGATCATTGCAAGTTCAAGACCATTGGGCTACGAAGTGAGCTTAAGGCCAGCCTGAACTGCATAGAGAGACTCTGTCTCAAAAAGGGAATAAATCAAAATAAAACACCCCCTACCAGTCATACCCCTGGTGACCTGCCCCTTCTGACAAGTCCCCACCTCTGAGTATATCAGACTTTTGGGGGATATATTTTAGATTGAAACTATGACAGATGGCTTTCCCATTAGACTCATGACAGAGTGAGATTTAAAGGCATTACTGGATCTTAGACATGTTTATTTCTTGTAGTAAATAATTTAAAGTAGTTATTATATGTAAGTACAGTGACACCCACATGTAGAAAAGCTATTTGGAAAGCTGAGGTGGGAAGATCACTTGAGCCTAGGGATACAAGGCCAGTCCTGGGCAGCATAGCAAAGCCCCATCTGAAAAATAAGTAGTTATTGTGATGAATTTTCCTTTGTAACCAAAACAATCTTTCCCCTATATTTCTAGTTCAGGGTAGTATATAACTTTACTGTCAGCCTCCTGCTAATATCCATTGCTAATAAAGTGGAGACAGGTCTGTCACTTGCCAAGTGGATACTGTCTTCCCAGTTTGCAGCCTATAAGACACAGCAAAGAGGTGCTCCCTCTGCTGGCCTCATCCAAAGAAAGGGCACATGCACACAGTGTCCCTCCTGGGCAGCGGGAGCTTAGAAGACTGTTTTCTCTGCTTTTAGAAATAGTTTTTGCAGAATACTGAGGTCTTGAGATGGGTACTCTAAAGACTGTTATATAACACAGATGCAGTGAAATGGTGCTTGAGTTTGAGGGTTCTGCCCTCATTGGTTTCTTCTTCTTCCCAGGCTGAACCACCCCAATGTGGTAGCTGCCCGTGATGTCCCTGAGGGAATGCAAAACTTGGCCCCCAATGACTTGCCCCTGCTTGCCATGGAGTACTGCCAAGGAGGAGATCTCCGGAAGGTAAGGTTTGAGGGTGGCGGGGTGCTCAGCCCATCTGGGCAGGGCTGGGATACCAGGAATGGAGGAAATGGGATCTTTTCACTGATGTCACCACAGTGACTTCAGCAGGCTTGTTTTCTACACCCTTTCTGTGCCCATGAATCAGATGCTTTGATGCGGAAGCAAGGGAAGGACTCTGTACATCCTGCACCATGTTCATCAAAATGATAGGGGAAATCTGTCATCTGAGCTGAGCCATGAGGAGAGACTGGATGAATTCCACCACAAACTTCTCTTCCTTTAGCTGTCAGGGCCACCTTAGGTTTTCAGGGTGGCCTCTGCTATCCTTACAAGGAAAGACTTTCTACAGGTGCAACAGCAGGGACAGCATAGAAGGAAGAGAGCCGGCTTAGTCATCCAGGAACCATGCTGCGGTTCAGACCCACCCCTGACTCACCTGGAGCACTGCCTTCTCCTGCCTTGTACCACCTGATAGAGGTGACAGGCCAAAGGGTGAACTCAGGGACCATTTCATGTGCCACCTTCCAGATATTCTCCACAGCCTGCCTTCACACAGTGCCACAGTTGTAACCTTTAACAACTGGTGATATTGGTGCACCATAGGATTCTTACATTATGGACAGGCGCCAGGGCCCAGGAATGTGGCTGATTGCTGGGCTCATGGAGCGCAGAAAAACTTAGGTCTGTGACATTTGCTGATATAGTGTAATAGCAGGAAAAGAGAATGTTTTGATTTTCTTTTTAATCTTATCGTAGCACAGCTCTTCTTGGCTCCCCCTTCCAGAAAGTCTGTGACTTGTGAGAGTTGGAATAGCAGGTGCCCAGGCTTTTGTTCCATCTGGAAGTGGCAGTTCCTGGGCACACCATGTGCTTTTCTCACTACTATTATCTTATAAAGGGGAAATTTCCACAAGGGTCCATCTGCGTGAGTGACTCTCCCACAGTGGGTGGTAGGCATGTCCCCGGAAAGGTGTAGCATCAGGCAGGATATGAACACAGTCATTGGCATGACCCACAAGTGGCACTGATAACAGATGAGAAATGGGGAACTTCACAGTTCTTTCTGTGTTTTTCCTGACCTTGTGGCACTTATCCATCATTGGCTGTGGTTGTGTGGCAATAAATCCATGGTATAATGGTGTGGTGACTTGCTGCTAGGCAGCAAAGAGCCAGTGAGCCAAGGTTGAAGACAATGTCAATGCCTGGCGTGGGCTGCAGGCAGATCTGTGGAAGCTGGGGGGTAATGTACCCTAGAGGCCTAACCTTGAGGTGCAGTGCCAGGTTGGGTGCCGTGAACCAAGTGCCCTCTCCTTCCAAAATGAGGCAGCTTGTCTCCTTCTAAAACACTCAAAATCTGTTCCTCTGGACACAAAGACACACTTGGCCAGTACATAAGCAAGTGCCAAGTTTGGAACTGACTTCAAAAGTTAAGTTTGGCAAGAGGGAAAGTGGCTTGAACCCACGAGTTCCAGGCCAGCCTGGCAACATAGCAAGACCCAGTTTCAAGAAAAACAAAACGAGTGCTGTGTAGGTAAATGGGCCCTTAAATGTTGAGGAATGGAGATGCATGGCCCTGATCCTCAGTTTGGAAGTTACTTTTTCTGCTCTCTATTCGAGGACAGCTTATAGCAGCATTCTGAGCCTCTCAGCAAATGGAGCAGCCCATCTGGCCAAGGGCTAAGTGCTGGATGTGCATCGGGAAGTTTTAGTTTCCACTTCTGGCCTTGTCTCTAATCCTGTATGTGCTGCACATGTTAGACTCCTGTGGTCTGTTTCTTCATCCCTGTTCGGGAGAGTCCAGCACACTTAGGTCTGAGGGCACAGGGAAATTTGTGAGGATGTAGGCTGAGCCTTGCCACGCCAGTCCACATGGAGGTTAGCCCAGCGTGGACTGACACATTTGTGCGGAATGCTCCTGCCTTGTCACCACCATGTGACGAACTGTGCCAGGGAAGTGGTCCATGGATGGCAGTGGGACTCTCCAGAATGGACACTGTGTTGCAGCTGAGTTTAGACTATGGCCTCCTCCTTATGACTTGTGGCAGCAAGTGAGACTTGAAATTTTCTCACTTCAGAGTGAATCAGACTCTGCCAGGCCCCATCCTCTGAACACAGGAGGGCCTCAGGGCACTGCCTCTGCCTTTCCCATGTGTATCAGTTTCAGCCAGCCCTGCTGCCCAGGGTTCTATAGAATCAAGTCCCCAAGCCCAGGGCCAGTACTCACACTCAGGTGGGCTCAGCAGGTGGTACACACTAGGGGCTTGATTGGTAACTTTTGACCACTCATGCTGATTTTCTTTTCAACTCTTGACAGTACCTGAACCAGTTTGAGAACTGCTGTGGCCTACGAGAAGGAGCCATCCTCACCCTGCTGAGTGACATTGGTAAGCCCCAGCTCAGGGAGGCAGTTGTGCCCCTAGGGAGACCATGTGGGACCTTGTGAATCCGTATGGAACACAGAAGGGAGCTGCTCCCATCCTCTCATCTTTACAGTGGGTGGATGGGCATAGAGGGCCCCAGAGAACGGGAAGGTCAGCAAGGGGCTAGTCAGGCTGACACTAGGCTCCAGTAGCTTTCCCTTCCTTCCTGATGAAATCATGGAGAGTAACAGATTTCCTTTTCCATTCAGAGTGCTGCTCCCTGCTTCCTGGAAAGGCCAATGATAGAGATGGTTGTCATTTGCATGAGTTCTATCCCTTGGCAGTGAATTTTTCCATTTTGAGTTGCCAGCTGCAGGCATAGGAAAATATTGCCCTTGTTTAACCTTTGAGTCCCGCCAGTGTTCTCAGAAGAGGGTGTCTGGCACTCTTGAGAAGACCTTGTGGCGTTGGGAAAAGGGGTTGCCTGTTAGCAGAGCATCTCCTAGGCCTTGGGGTAGACTCCAGGGGGATGGGGTGTGGTCAACAGCAGCAGCCTAGGTCTAAGGAAGTGCGTTCTATAAGTGCCACTAAGACCTGTTCAGGGCTTTTTTGGTTTTTGTTGGTGTGAGTTGATAATTTAGGGTCTGAAGGTCAGTTACCCCTAGTTTATCTTTGAGTATTTGCACCAGGTTTGATTGGTGATACCATTTTTATGTCTTCCCACCTCAGCCTTTTGAAGTTCTGATAACTTTCATTTGTTCAAATCTTTTTTGTCAAATGGTCAAATATATCAAAAAGTTAAAAGAGTAGAGTGGATGAACTCACATACCTCCCTTAGCCTTCACTGAAAAGGGAATGAGGGGAGAAAGTCAAATGGCATGTTTAAGGCTAAGATCCAACAGTCTGACCCATAAAACACCTATTTCTGTCTGTATCTTGTCTCATCGTTTTTGATGGAGTTCACTTGGGAGGGAAGTTTCATTACCCTAGTGTTACTTTCCTTGTGTGGAGTTCTCCATGGTGACTACCAGATGGGCCCCATCTACCTATAACCCCTCATTCAGAAGTCAGAAATCCACATTTTCTTGGTATCTTGCCATACAGCTCCTCCTGCATGTTTTTCTTTTTGTTTTATTTTTAATGTATTTAGTTGTTACAGGGTCTCACTATGTAGCTCAGACTCTTGATCCTTCTGCTTTCAGCTTCCCCAGCGCTGGGATTACAGGCATGCGCCACTATGCCCAGACTCTGGCCAGCTTAGCCCAGGGGTGGGGTGGGTGCTGCATGTGGTGTCAGGGATTAAACTGTGTTCCCTTGTGCTTGTGTAAGCTTGCCTAAGCAGACACTTTAATCTGCAGAGCTATCTTGCCGGTGTCCTGCACATTTTTCTTAGATGTTTATTTCATTTATCTTTTTCCTTCAGTGGCCAATTTATTAATTTGTTTACTGTTGAATTGAAAGCAGGAAGGATAGGTAATATTCTTTTTTCTTCATGGTCAAGTTTTGTAAGAATTCATAGGTTTTTGTTGTTTTTGTGTTGTGACACTGGGGACAGAACTCATGGCCTTAATGCTGAATTACATTACTAGCTCTTTCAGACACGGTCTCACAAAGTCGCTACATTGTCCGGCCTGAGCTCCAATTTGTGACCTGACTCGTCAGCTACCCAGAGTTCTGGGATTACAGGCTATACCATCACGCCTGGCTAAAAGTTCTTGAAAGTACTGGTTCAAGTCTAGAGACCTATCTGCTGCCTCATGTTTTACTTCTCATGACTTTCTATTGGAACTAATAATGCCTCCACCTACTACAGATTCTCAGAACACACAAGACAGGTGAGCTGTGAGCTGCTAATGTGGTACAGCTCTCCTGTGGGAAGTGGATATTAAATTCTTCAGGTCACTGATCCTTTGTTGTTCCTCTCTGTGATCTCAAATTAGAAATAATTAGATTCTGAAAGATTAGCACACTAGAATTTAAGCTTTACTTTTGTTTTTTTGGTGCTAGTGGTGAAACCCAGGGCCTCAAGCTAGCTATGTATTCTACAATTGAACTCCTCCCCAGGCTCTGGATTAAATTTCTTAATGGTAGAAACTGTACTATTTTTGTCTCCAGTATCTAGAGCAGTAGTACTATCAATCTATCAATGAAATCAACTGGTATATAAGTATTTCTTAAGGCTGGTGAGATGGCTCAGTGGTCTGAGGCACCTACTTAGAACAAGTTTAGCAAAGCACAGCGACCTCGGTTCAATCCCCCAGTGCCACATGCCAGCCAGCCCCGCCCCCTGGTGGGCTGAGCTGGCCACACACACACACACACACACACATAAATAAATAAAATTTTAAAATAAATAAATATCAGTTGGATGAAATAAGCCCCAAGATAAAATAAGTAAGGACTTATGTTTTCAAGTTGAAATATCCACATATTAACACTCCTACCTCATGAAGTGGAGTGTGCTACTTGAGTTTTCAGAACTGATGTTTTATTGGCAGTAAGATATGAACATTGCTCACCTTGTTGGATTGTTATAAGAGCATGAGACAGTGTACACAACACTCCAGCACACTGCTCTTTTCCTAACAAAATGAACACTTGGCAGAGTGATCCTTCCTTGCTCTTTTTCTTCCCCCTCTGCATTTGGATTCACATCTCCCTGTGAGAAAATCTTGATCCCTAATTTGTATTGAGATGTGAGGTTGAGCCACATCACTGGCAGGTGGATGTCCCTGGTGGCTCCCTTCCTAGAAGTGGCAACCTCCCCTCTACCTCCCCTCCACCCCCATCCCCATCACCCAGAGATGCAGTCAACTTCCTCTGAGTTGGTGGGTGTGGCTGAAGTCCCTGGTTGGTTGCTATGTTACTTTTATTCACATTTCTGATTAGTAAATAAGACCCATCATA